GTTGAAAATCCCGCTTACAAATATTCGAGCGCAGCTAACGAAGGAATAAAGGTATGGCAATGATGAAATACAGTTTGTATTTTTGATCTTTGATTTTTGTTTCGTTCGAAGCGAGCCGGCAAAGACGACAAGGAACACGTGTCGTTCTTTGCGAGATTGTTACCCAATGCCAAGTATCGAATTTGGGCCTATTCCGTTGGTAATAATTTTTATATATTTGCTAAATCAATGGTCTTATCAAATGGCTTCCAAGTGTGGTGCACAGTACCGCGTTGTTTAAACTCTTTGCCTTAAAGATTTACTGTGAAAATTAGCTTATTCGAAGTTGAGGGGCAGCAAATGCTTATGGTTATATACAGAACACTAATGCAATGCAGTCGGTAGACGCACGACTTCGTCAAGACTGGACTTCATGCATACTCCATTTCGCTTCAGTTCCTTGCTTCTAATCACTTGAAGGGCATTTAAGAAGGCCGCCATATATAGAGGCATAGGGGATGGAGTTGCCTCCCGCATAAACGGTTCCCAGACAACTGAAAGCAACGAAGCGGCGCAATGAGCCTTGGAATTTTGTCTTAAAGGAGTCATGCGCCAAAGTCTCTATTCCGGAATTGAAAGCCATATGTTTAAGGCAGTTTTTCGCGGCGGTTCTTTCGAGAGTACAAGTTGATTATAAAGTGCATGGACAATTTATAGCGTTTATAACGTTGTCTGTAGCCATAAGAACAAACTGTGATCATCCTACGAAAGTATAAAATTGTGGTGTTGATGAGTAAGCAGCAAGTTACATTGTGCCGTAAGGAATACTCCAAAATGGGAAAGGTCACGAGAGCGAAATGGATATAGTCAAGTAATCGTTCCGCCTTTTTCTGTCCACCTACTTGACAGGAAGTCATTGAAAAACTTTCGCCAATTCACAGCATAGTCGCAGAGCGCTTCATTGTGTCATGGAAAAGTTGTATCCGAAAATCTCTCCTTTCCAGAGGCACTCTAGGCACTGATCTCTGTCTGAGTAATCTATGTCATTGTGCCGGACTTGGGAAGACTTCGCTGCGCCATAATTGCCGCAGTTATGACGGTTGACTTTGTCACTGTTGTGGAATGCTGCTTCATGAATAGTCAGCTACTCAAGAAATTTTGTACACTCTTGGATTTGCGCCCTCTTGTGCTAACAGGGACAGACTTTCGCTTCGTGTTTTTCTTTCTGTCCTCGTCGCGACACGGCGGTGTCGACAAACGCTTCGGACGTAGCAGAAATGGGGGCTGACATGGTGCACAGCGACTGGTGGTTACATGCGATGAGTTCGTACAATTCACGCCCGTGTCTGGATGACCGCTCTATATGTCATGTTCAAAGGGCTCGCCAGCTACCGTCATATTTGAATCGGCTGTGTGTATGCCCATGCAGTTTCACTGAAAATTTCATGCAGCATTTATATCGCCGTGTAAGATTCATTTTATACAATACGCAGTCACTTAGTTTTATTGTTTGGAGATGCTGGCTGGATAATAGTCAAGCCTTCTAGCTGATTCGAACCCAGTTCTCTAAACTCGTTCGTCCAGTTGTTACTTGAGTTCCTCGGTAACTTTATAGTGAGTAGTAATTTTCTGATTGAGCCTGTTGTTTTCTTCATTTTTGGTTTGACCAGTGTGCGCAGTTAAATTGTCACTATCCCAACTGGTACTAACAAACATTCAGTGAAAATCTAACAACATTTACAAAATTAGCATTGAAATATATCTGTGAATTTAACGTTGGATACACCGAAACAAAGTTTCATACTAAAGCATAAGTAGTAAAAGTTTTGATGCTTTATGGCCGAAAGATGCCCATTATATTCTGGATAAGCAAAGAAACAGTTAACATTTAATATCATCAGTTTAAATGTAACACCTACGTATCTTTTCCGGATTTAGCTGTATAATCGCACATTATCCTTGCTTTCAACTTCTAGGGTCTTTGAGGGTGAATGTCTTCGTCCTCTATAAAAGGGAATCCGAATTTATCTTTCAGGACTCCCTTATTTTTGTCCCAGAGGCGGCGGATGGTCCGGCAGAAGACCTTGTGTGCTGTCTAGAAATTCGATTCCAATATCTTACTGAACATTCGACTTTCGATTTGGCGATTGGTATCACTGCCGCCTTCCACGTTTCGTGGTACCGCATTCTAGTTGAGGGCTCTTTCCGTCCAAGCTGCGTCTTCAATGCATTCTTCTTTCCGACAGCCAGTTGAACCTACGGTGTCCGCCAGAAAGTTTTTCTGACACCAGACGACTTTCAACCAGGTTTTGAACTGCGGCATTCAGCAGCTGCCCTGAGTAAGCTGCTCTTAAAGAGCTTATACGTCAGCCATTATCACTTGGATATGTTTAAACCGTCGTGGAATATTGTTAGCATGCTTTGCCCTCATGTCTGTAAAAAATGATTGTCATTTGATTCTGGTTTCTTCTGCGGCCAGCTCTCTGCATAGTGCTCCCCTCCTAACGCAGTCATCCATTACAGAGCGTTGTAAGTCAGGCGTTGCGATAACAAAATCGGTTATTGACTTCTATACACAAGCATCCCTGTACCAGATATACTGAAGCACTTTTCGATGCTCGAAAAAGATGTTCATAATGTACAAACCGTTGTTTGCACAAAACCACGGCAATTTCATGGCGTTATTGTTGAGGTCGCTTGGGCCGTTATTTCCAATGACATCTTTCCACTTTTCAGTGTCTGTTTCGATATGTGCATTAAAATGGCCCATTAGAATGAGGATCTCCGTAATCGGCATTTCTTACAGAGCATACTCCACTTCCTCAAGAAATGACATTCCCCCTCATGGAATGATATTCTCTCAGAATTGGGCGCGTGGATCTGTAACGGATGATACTTTTAACGTGTATGAGCTTCAGTCGATTTACTGACACTCTTGCGCTGTCTGGCTTCCGTTCAGTGATCCTGTCGTCCAGTTTGATGGAGGGTCGTACAATCGACACCTCAGTACAGCATCTTCCTCCGGCAGACGTTTAGAATTCCAGAGCCTTCGCACTTCCTTAACGACAGTCAAACTACATCTACTCGGCCCTTTGCGATCTCATCAACTAGCTCTTGGTCTTTACTTTTGAATTGGTTCTCCCAGTACCGTCATCGTTCCAGCTTAACCTTATGTGACGTGGTATAGTGTCATGACGCTGTCTTCCTTTTCCGTTCAGAACTGGTTGCGAAGGCGTTGCTGACCACTGATTTTCGTTATCATTTCCATTTTCATGAACCTTCGTCAAAGCTATACTCTGAGTTGGCAGAAGTGTGTTAGTAGGTTCTGATCGCCGACTTTTCACAACTTGCATTTGTCCTCCGACAGCCTTCGCCTCCCTTGGTAACCCGGGCGACGACCGAACCGGTATGACGTTCGATATCGATATAGGCAGTGGCATCCGGTGCAGGTTGCTAAATTTTACGAAAACTTTGCCGCCGATCCAAACCCATCTCTTTTCTCACGTGAATTTGAAACTGGTAAAGGCGGAGTTCTGCCTTCCTATTTCATTTGTATACTATTACCCTTATGATAGCGGTGGTGTGCGTCATCGGTAAATAGAGAATTTTGTGTCGTTTTGGAACGATGGATCAGGTAATGAGGGCCATAAAAGAAGTTCTTTTTCGAAAATTGGACAAGCCGTGCCCCTGGGTATATGTAGTTTGGCATTCGATTGGCATGGCGCAGCAGATGGACGGTGCAGTAAGCAGCGATACTCGGTTTTGGACGAGTTAGCGTGTATCAGCATGCTCTGGCTTCCGAAACCGTATTTGTGATGTTTTGGAGACATGTAAACTGTGCTGCGTTCTTAAACATGACTTATGACAAACAAGGTGTTGATATAGCCAATAAAAGGTGTTCGAAATTCATTTGCAGATTCCAGTTCTTCAATGCCAAGAAGTCTTGAACTTCTTACATAACCTCTTACGTATCTAGGAACAGGATATGACACAGCATATCCCGATATCCGGTTTTGGACGAGCGGCGTTTATCGGCAATACTAATAATTTAACTTTAGTTTCTGAAAAATGTTGCGAATGCCATATTCATTGTGGCTGGAATGGTATTTGCACTTTGACGTGTTCTGTGTGTTTAGGTAGCACGACACTGATCAGCATTGCTCCGTTCGTGCTGTTGTTTTTCATTCCTTTGAATGGAGGCATAGAATCTTCCAATGATCCGTTGCTGAAGGTGCTGTTGAGTTTTGCCTCTGGCGGCCTCCTCGGCGACGCGTTTCTTCATCTGATTCCTCACGCGCTATACGCCGTTACTGAACACCAGGCAGCAACCGGAACGGCTTCAGATCACACTCACTCACATTCGCATGCGCATGCTCATGCTCATTCCCATTCGCACGGGCACTCGCACGAGGCGGGTAACTTCTCAGGACATGACTTGACGGTCGGTCTGCACGTTTTGCTGGGCGTGACGGCATTCCTCATTGCTGAAAAGCTGCTACGACTGCTGAAAGTAAACGAACACGATAATAGCCATGGCCATTGTCATGACCACCAACCTGAGGCACAGACCTCGAAAAGTGATAAAGACGGTGAGCAGTCGCAGTCAGAGTCCAATGCCATGACGGAAGCAAACAACGGCGATGAACCGGAAACACGTGATACGCAACTTTACAAACGCAGGAAGAGTGGTGACAAACAGACTTCGCGAATATGTTCGCCGGACGCAGCCGTCGGGTCGTCTTCTGAATCGTCGTTATGCACCGGTAGACTAAAGCAAGAAATTAACCGGTAGATTTTATTGTTCGTTTCGCTACTTTAGCACATCACGGCGGATCCGTAATTAAAGTGGCCGGATATTTGAACCTGGCAGCTGATTTTCTGCATAATTTGACCGACGGATTGGCGATCGGTGCGTCGTTCTTAGCCGGCGAGACGGTTGGCGTTGTGACCACTTTGACAGTGCTTCTGCACGAGGTGCCACACGAAATCGGCGACTTCGCAGTACTGATTCAGTCAGGCTGCAGCAAGCGTTCCGTAAGTTCTGTTTTTTGCTTGACGTCTGTTCTTCTTGGACTATACAGAAGACATTTTTTAAGCCTTTTCTCTCAATGCTCTTGTAGAACTGTAATCTGGAAATTGAAAATTTTCGACAAAATTCCCATTTATTAACTATGAAAAATAAATATGTTCTACAAAAAGTTTTCTTGCATTCATTACTTTCAAGTATATGTTCATTTTACATCCAGTAAGGTTCTTTCTAACAAAAAAGTTTAGTTTTCTAATAGAGTATGCGACTGTTTTTGACCTTATCACCGTTGTCAGCTCGGAGTTAATACACAGTGTGACGAAGTCATTGATTTTGCTCTCTTCAGATTTCTTGGAAACTCCTAATTTTACATGTCGTTTCCGAACTTTTCATAAAGTGCAAGAATATTAGCACGTTAACGTCTTCGTTAGCGCGATAATGTAACTGAAGTCATTTCGAGGTCAACCCGCGTCACTTCTGCTGTGTAAGATGGCAGCTGGCTTTGCCTCTCAATGCTACTGTCATCTATTGCCGCAAAACAGAACTGCTTAAATCAGTCATGGATGCATTAAGGAAATGTTTATTTTACGAACATTATTCTCAGTGATAATTGATAGCACAGATTGCTGTTCGTATTGAATCAGTCATCGTACTTGTACGTGCCTCTTACGAATCACGATATCTTCCTGTTGTTTTCGGAAAGCAGGATTACGCGACCACCATTTCTTGCCTAGTTATAAGTCGGCATAGAGATTAGATTTGCTCGCTGTATATGGCCGTTCGAAATATGCATTTAATTCTGTTTTGAATTATCCTGAAGTGAATGTATTGGTCCCTCCTCCGTCCGAATTCCACTACCTCAGTTTCTTGGGAAGTTGATAAATTAAAATTTAATCAAAGATTGTTAGCCAGGAAGCAAGTTTTAGCTGTCAAGGAAGAAAGAGGACTTTCATCAGAGACACCAGAAATTCTAAAGTGGAAAATTTTTACAGAAAACTGCAAAAAATGAAATCAGCAACAGCCTGAATTGCGATATTAAGCCTGAACATGCAAACGAAGCTGACGAAGTTCCAGGTATCTTTACAGAAGAAACGAGACATGCAGCAAAAAGGTCAAAGCAATGACGGGCTCCTGACAAAGACGGCGTTGCGGTGGAACTCGTGGAATCAGGATATGAAACACTGACGAATGTGTGTTGGCGCGCTTGTTT